CGATATATTTTTAATTTACTTATAGCTTCATTAAAATAAAAAAATTACCCGGCTATGATACGGAGAGTTCAGGTGTACTTGAGAAACGAAAGACAGTGTTTGTTTCTCGGCAGAGTCGTCAGGGAACGACCGTTACGACAGAGACAACCTATCTATCGCTCGTGTCGCACTCGTTATAACCTAAAACAATAACACAACAATAACAAGACAGTGTCTGACCGCATGTTCCAGCTATTTATGAATGAGATGCTCAGTCTATATTTTATTTTAAGTCTATGGTCGGGCATCTGTAGCTCCTAAAATAAATAACTTGGGAATTTTGTTTAAGTGCAAACCTAAAGTATGTACTAGGATGTATTTCAGAAAAATATTTTAACTTCTATAGGGTGGCTCAAAAAAGTGTGAGTGGATCGGGATGATTTTTTAAATGAAACACCCTGTATATTATTGCATTTTTGGCTTCCTTTCAGACTACTTTACATAATCCCAAGATATGAGTAAATATATTTCAATGGTTTCAGAGATATTAATAAATAAATAAAAAATATTATATATTTTTCAACCTTCCTTAAAAAATTGTAACAAATACAAGAACTGTCCTGAAATCAAAACTATATTAGGTATTTACTTTAAATAGTCTAGACTTATTTTGCTATAAAAATCGTAATCTTAAATCATACAGGATGTTCAAAATTCTACGCCATTTATTATGTATTTCAAAAGTTTTAATGGTTTCACAGATATGAGAATTAAATTTCACAGATATGAGTATAGAGATATACAATTCTCCATCTATTGAAGAAATAATATACAAGGTGTTCCATTTAAAAAAAACGAAGCAAAATTAATTATTTTATATATTAGAAAGTTTGGCACAATGAATCAAATCAAAAAATCGTCCGATTTAAAAAAAATGTATGGCGACAGATTGGACCAAGGCCAACTTTACCGTGTACGACACGTGTCACTGTGACATTTAGTTACACATGAAAAGTTGATATAAAAAGCGTTAAAAGTTGATGTCGTCCGATTGCAACCAAACTTGGTGGGTATAGGCTATGTGAGCGACGTTACACACCACCCTGCAGAGTTGGATACGACGCAAGCTGGTCGAGTTTCGGCGAAATGTGGCAAAAAGTAATAAAAACTAGATTCAAATTACCCTATCAGAAATGTTTCGAATGCACAGGCAAAACACCAAAAAACAAGTTGGCTATGAAAAAAAGTTGAAAAAGTGTCGTCTTGTTACTTGACAACAATTTCAAAACAAACTGTCACTTGAAATACCCATTGTGTTAATAAACATTAAACATAATTTTTTAAATTGTTATTACGGTTTTTAGTATCCTGTAATTTTGGAAAAGTGTTTTTTACCATGAATGATAATTCTGGAGGTATGTATTTAATATTTAAGTAAAAATATGTACTTTTTATTGGTTCATTTTATTGTTGGTTTTGGATAAAGAATTATGCAAAGAAATGGAGAATGTACTTTCGCATTTATTTTTCACGATTTTACGTAGTTTTAAATCGATTTTATTACTGTTCCGCTCATTTCCCATTATAAATATATTTTTTCCTCCTTATATAATTATCTACCTTATAGGCTGTAAAAAGTTTTTTTGCGCATATTTGCGTATTTTGTCATAAACTGTAAAACACACTGTACAAGTAAATAATGAGGACCCTCTTTTATTTTTTAAACCCATGTTGTATATGGCGTTATAATATTGCATACACATATAATACCAAAGCGACTATCTTTTGACATATTTTTTTATGTTAAATGTCAAAAAGATAACAGGACGCCATTTTGAAAAAAAAGTTAAGTAATGTGGTAATATCTTAATTGAAAGGTCTTTTCATTCCTAATATATGACCAAATTTTAAATTAAATTAATTAAAATCACTCTCAGTTTCCCAAACAAAATGGCGCCCTGCCAAAATTTTGAAAATTCTAAAATAATTTTAGTTTTTTTTTATTTTGGATCAAGTTTTAGTTTTGGTTTTATGAATTTTGAAGCCTGTGTAACCAAAATGAATATAAGTGAAAATATTTTTTTAATAAAACCCATTGAACCATTAAACTTTTATGTTGAACACTTTTTTCCCAAACGTCAAATTAAAAAGTTATTAATTAGGAGGGGTCCATTTAACTGTGAACACCCTGTGTATGCTAAAATTTTTTGACCAGATTGATTAAAAAACACTAGAAACATATATTTTTAACGTTCAGGTTATTTTCTTGTTGCAAAATATTTTTTCCCACGTTTCGACGAAAATCGACCAGTGTGCGACGTTTCGTTTACATCTTAATCAGGGTGGGACTAAGGATTTGATATTGAAAAAAATGTGGATCGATTTCGGCATAATTGGGAATAGGCTACAGAATGATGCTCTCGACGTTTCGAACCGATGCCTCTAAATGGACGAAATCATGAGTATTTTTCTTAATTATGGGTCGATTGGAACCAAACTGGGCACATGGATAAAGGTACCCGAATGGAGTGTTCAGACTGACAGATGGGCAGACAGACAGACAGACAGACGGAAATAAGAAGAAGTTTCACTTCAAATATGCACACATAGTGCATACACGATTTTTTTAAAAGCCTGTACACGGCTTTAGCAGCAGAAAGAAGACGGTTACCTAAAATACTTTTTTTTCCATAGCAACTGTTAAAATTGCCTTATATCTATCAAAATAGTACTTTAACCCGAAATGGTAGATTAAATGATACTTTAACAGCGAGGATATGTTAAAAACTGTATTTCTTCTCGCACGTTTTTTAATTGCTTCCATTTTTGAAAATTTTTGTATTTCTTTTCATAATTTATTCGGGATTTAAATGGAAGTAGTTTGGATATGGCATTTGTCGCCTCAGCCTGAATATCTGTTGGTAATTTACTTATTTCGTTTTGAGCCATATCTGACTCCAATTCAATCAGCAATCGACACGAAAGAGAATTAAAAAATATTGACTCAAAACTGACAACTAAAGAGACAGCTTTATTTATTTTTCAAATTACATTGAAACCAACGCCAACCCAGCACAATATTTTTTCTACTCTTAATAAATTCCTTGAAATAATAATTTCTGAATATTTTTTAAAACGTAACTCGCTATGGAAAAAAATATTGTTTTAAACACGACAATAAAATTGCATTATCGCCTCCCGAAATTAATTCACTCGCGATTTCATCGCTCGTGAATTAACCTTTTCGATCGACGATAAAATACCATTTTATCGTCTTGTATAAAAAATAACTATTACTTTTTAACGATAAAAAGGTGAAAATTCAATTACTATAATATAATAAGCAAATTTCCACAGAAAATAAATAGAGAAGTGAAAAGGAAAAGCCCTAAACAGCAACCAACAAGAAACACGTGCTGGTATGATAACCCTACAAATCTCGTAAATTTCAGAAGTAGTTCCAGCCGGAAAGGTAGGCTCCCGGGGCCATCGCTAGGTGTTCTCACCGGGCCTTGTATTAGATTGCAGCGGCAATTAGTGCCGGTTAATGAGCCTCTCTGGACGCAATTACTCTCGTCACGCCTCGCGCCCTTCTCGCCAGCCGTCCACTCGCTTTGTGCCCTACGTCAGTTTGTTTTAGTTCTCGCCATATGCGAGCACCTCTTCAGTTATTAAACAATTCGTTTTCTCGTGCTCTCCGAACGGAGACGGAGAATTGTTTGTAGTATTTGGATTTCTTTGTTGGTGCGAGTGTTTGTTGAAGAGGGCGACAATGGCGCTACAGTAGATTAAAAATAAAAAGGCTTAATGATCACAAAAATGTTTCTGTTTCAATGTCATGAAGATCGTTAGCTGAATTTACGTAGATCGTTATAATATTATAGATCGTTTTCGAGTAAACATTTTTGAAGTGAAACTTCTTTACATACGCTCGGAGTAAAAATTCAAAGCCGTGTCACACGAGCTATTAAGATGACACGTGAGACGAAAAATGGTAACGATCGAAAGAGTGGTAATCCAATGAGGAAGTTGAGATGGGTCTTTGTAGTGTAGTGACTTGGACCCTATATGAGCTGGGAGAGGAAACTCGGAATGTAGATGGGGCTCGAAAAGCCTCAATTATATTTTGACGACGCGACGTTTCGTGTACTGTGAATTCCCATCAATGGCGAAAAAATCGTATGATTTAAATGAAATTTGGTATGTCGATAGATTTGACCAAGGCCAACTTTACTGTGTACGACACATGTCACTGTGACAATAAGTTTTGACGTAAGAAACGTCCGAAAGTTGATGTCGTTTCGTTTACATCTTCATCAAGGTGGGAGTGAGAATTTGATATTGAAAAAAATGTGGGTCGATTTCGGCATAATTGGGGACAAGCTACAGGATGGTACGTTTCGAACCGATGCATCTAAATGAACGAAATCATCAGGTTTTTTCTTAATTATGGGTCGATTGGAACCAAACACAAAACGTGGATAGAGGTACCCGGATGGAGTACTCAGACGGACAGACGGTAATTTTAATACAAACCGTAAAACGGGGTAACTTCGACAACGGGGGTAACTTGAAAATGTTCCTACGTAGATGACATTGACAACAATGACTGGATTTGTTGCGTCTCTTGTTGAATAAGTAGGTGTGCGGTAGGTCCAAGAATCCTCAATATGAATGTCTTTCGTGCACTTTATGTTCCATTTGTTTACTGCAGTACTCCGAGTACACAAATGGAAAGGCGTGGATCAAGTGTGTCACCTGTGGAAAGTGGGATTGTGGATATTGCAACGGTGGTTCCAAACAAGTAAGATACGAATGTCCTCTATGTTTCGACGATGATTAGAATTTCGTTACTAGTGTTTGCTTTGTTTTTTATGTTTTAAACTTGTTTTAAATGTTGTGTATTTATGTTTTTTACTTTGTTCAATGATTTTTAGTTAAGTCAATGGTAGGTGACCAAACCAATACCGAGTTTAGGCTAATTTATCCCCTGGTACGAAAAATATAATTTAATAACATACCTGAACTCTGGCTTCTGTTAAATTTATCTTCATAGCTAAATCCTCTCGGGTGAAGACATCAGGATAGTGAGTTTGAGCAAACGCACTCTCCAACTCTTCCAGCTGAAGATTTATTTCAAAATGGTCAGTATGTTAAATAGTATTTAAAGAGTGTAATTATTTTACCTGCTGAAGGGTAAACGTAGTCCTATTTCTCCTTTGCTTTCTCCGAACGAAAGTATCATCGTGAATTGCCGGATGGTAAGAATAACTGGTATCTGAAAAAGATAAAAATATTTCATTGATACAGTGGTTAACTCAAAATACGTAAACTATTTAGAAATCCATTCATACTACAAGAAAAAGAATATATTGGCAGAGACCGCTTCAAGTTATATCCTGAGACAGGTGTTTCTGGGTTATAGCCTTTGTCAGTAAAATTTATCCAATTTGTAAGAGAAAAACGTGAAGGTGAAAATAAAAGAAACATAAAGAGCAAATGGGATTCTAAACTCTCAATTTGCAGCCTAGACCCAAAATCTTCTAGAGCTGTAGGCTTTATATATACAAATTCGGGTCAGAACGTCCTACGACGTTGTCCGATGCCTAACTTCCACCCTGTGCGATTTTCCCATCGATCTTCGGTCAGATTTTTCTCGCTCATCGACCTTCTTATTCCTTCCATCCATGTTTTCTTGAGACGTCCTCTCTTTCGTTTACCAGGTGGTATCCAATGAATAACTTGTTTTGGAATTCTTTCATTGTGCATTCTCTGAACGTGGCCGTACCATATTAATTGTTTTTGTTCTATATCATTTACTATTGTTCCCTCTATTCCCATCTGTTGTCTAATGTCTTCATTTCTGATCTTATCCCTCCGTGAAATTCTCATTGCTCTTCCAATCGCGTCCATTTCTGTTGTCTCTAATTTCCTTTTATTCCTTTCAGTTAGTCCCCATGTTGCTGTAGGCTTTATTCACGACTTATTAAGGTAAATCCTACCTCCTATTGGCAACAGTAGAAATGCTGTTACCGGGGAGGCAAAACCTACTGACTGTTAGAAACATTTATAAAAAACGTACCAGTGTTGAGCAATAACCAATGAGAAACCTTAGCGTATCAATGGTAGATTCTGCCTAAATGCGACCAGGTCAGCTGCGGAAGTAGCCAACACGAGATAACTCACACAAAAAACATTTTTGTGGGAGAGTAACTAAATTAAAAAAAAAGAGCTGATGAGTACGGCTCATCCAAGTTATAAGATGGCAACTTGGGGGTGAAAAAAAGGTATAATGATTAAACGGGACCCGAAAAAACATAAATCCAATAATAAATAAATAATCAATATAATATAATTAGGTAGTTCATGGTGTACAACTTATCTTAGATAGTAACTATAGGAAACAAGAAATAGCCACCTTATCTGATAGTCAAGCAGCATTAAAAGTGATCAAATGTGTAACCATCAATTGAAAGTTGGTCAAAGAATGCCTAGATAAGCTGAGCAAATTAGACAAAGAAGAAGTCCTTCTACTCTCGGTGTCAGCTTACCAAGGAATAGAAGGTAATGAAAAAGCAAACGATCTAGTTAGAAACGGATCAACATAGTGAAAACCAACTCAACTAAGTGAAAACCAATTCAAAGCGGAACTCAAGAACTTGGAAGACTCCATCCCTAACTGAATAGGAATCCTACAATGATCTAAGACACTCGAAGAAGTTTATCAGGACTTACGACTGAGAAAAATCAAAGATTTTCTTTGGTTTAAGAACAATTTTTGGATTGTCACAGGACAGTGTCTCCTCAAGGAACATCTCAGTAGATTGAAGCTAAGAAACAACGGTGAATGCGGATTCTGTGGAAAAAATGGGGAAACACTGCAGTGCGCCGAAATGACAACCATCCGTGCCATACACATTGATACGACTGATATTAGAGATGGAGAACTACCCTCTGTAAAACCGTCTCAAATACTGACTTTTGCCAAAGCCCTGGGACTATATGATGAGTTATAACTCGAGAGAGATTGACATAATAGATCTATAAGGTCTAGTCAATCTAGTAATTTCGTGAGCGATATTTAACTAAAGTAAAGTTACAATCGAAACTATTATGATTGAGGGTGTATTCCGTTGCTTACCTTGGTTATGATGGTTGTATGTTCCGTTTCTATCGGTTTCCTGAAAGTTTTCTTATTACGGAACACGGTTCCTGAAAAATTCAGTTATAATTGTCACCAAACTAACCAGCGCGAGAAGGTTGGTTTTATGGTTTTGTTTGTCAATCAATGTCATTTATGTGACAGAAATCAAGCAAATATTGGAAGTTCGAGTGAAATTCTCACTTAATTTTTAAAAATTTTGTATTTACATCCAAAAGCAATGGAGGTAGGTAGTAGAAGTAAATAAATTTCATTAACTAAATAGAATGACTTTTTAGGACCATTTAAACTTATCATGCAGCCATTGTTTCTTAAAATCAGGAACATTTAAAGAAAACATGAAAAACAAGACAAGTAATCATTAATGTTTTGTAAGCTATAAAAATATGAATATTGATTAGATTTGTTTATTTATTATTGATCTGTTTTAATATTGGACCTGCAAATCTTCACTTGAGCTGTCTAACGCGTTTAACAGTTTATTAATAAAGTACTTTTCAATATTAAACAACATTGAAAAGAAGAAGCAAACGAAAAAACAGGGAATAGGTATATTAAAAATGCATAAAAGATAAATTTTATTATAGAGGTATTGAAATTTAGAAAACGTCAACATTTGACATTTCCAGTATTTTACCAAACCGTTTCGTATCAAACCGATATTTTTCAGGAACCGCTCTTTACCGATCTGGTTCGCCTGCTTTTGCAATGGAATACAGCCTGATTTAAATATTTGTGAGTATGTGATAAAACATTGAAAGTTAATGTACTTCAACCGGATAATTCGTTAAACACTAGTCATAATAAACGGCAAAAATGTCACGGAATTTTTCAATATTTTCTCAGTATTTCGCCATCCGTCCCGCAAACTCGATAATCCTAACGCGGTTTGCCTTACATGGAGTTATCTCGTTTCTGGCCAAATCTACTTTGGAAGTTTGTGTAAGTCGGACTCGCGCGGCCATTCCTTCCAGCTAATCGCTTTAGACGTTCCGATAAAACTTTCAGACACCGCAAATTCCATTTAAGCAATTTTCGACGGGAAGCTGAAAACCCCAACGCCATGTGGAAAACACCTTTTTTCCAACGACGACGTCATATTTTCTTTTCTCTTCGGGGTCTATCGAATTAGTCGTTGCTGAAGTTTCGATCTTGTTACTGTGTGGACAGAGACCAAAATCAAGTAATTGGTGATAAATGTTACAAATAAATTTTATTACATTTTTTATACTATAACAAATTTTAGTACAAAAATGATGCAAAACAACTCAATATGTCTCTTAAAGAATTATGTTACTGGGATCAGTGTTTAGCGGGGACAAAGATCGTAAGTTAAGAGTATATTATGCTGTACTGTTTGGTCGCTGTTAGGGGTCGGGTAAAGCGGGTGTGTGGGTGAAGGAAATATATATTATATTTCAGAAATCTGCCTAAGGTTTAGCCCGATTCTGTCGTGTTAAGCCGCACCCAAAAATTCCAAACACACGTGCTTTGATTATTCTGTTTAGACTTATTTACATGCGAGGGGTGAAAAATGTTACTGCCAAGCGACTGCCAATGACTGCGAAGAAGACTGCCTATGACTGCCATGTAATTATTATAGGAGATTTCCGTAAGACTACCAATGACTGCCAGCGACTGCCAAGAAAATGTACAGGTAATTCCAATAGTGAGACCCTCGTTATACATGTTTTCAAAATCGACATTTATTTCCCCTCTCTAAACACGAATTAATCATTAATATTACTAAAATCGGCCAAATATACAAACAAAACCACACAAAAAGATCGAACAATTAACATTTCCTAATAACAAAACCCCACCTTACTTTTCCTAGTCACGTAAAGCCAAGAGGTCGGAGGTTAGTGTAATGGCAGCTTATTATTAAGCGCGTTTCTACGAATGGGGCGCTTATTAGGACCATTGTTTGGCCCGAGGAAAAAATCTCGATCGCAATTATCGATTTGACCGGAAAATTTGTCGTTTGATCTCGGTGCGTTTAATGGCGATGGCGCACAGTTTGTCGAAGTGAAAAGTTTTCCTGCTGGGTGGGACGCGTGTTTGGATAAGTCGAACGACATTTACTCTCATAATATATATGGTATTGCTATAATTATTTAATAATCACTATGTAATATGTGTTCGTCTTCTGATAGATATAAACAATTGATGAATAATTTCTATACATTTTCGAAGGTTTGTTTTGAAATTTGTTTTTATTTCTGCCCGCTCAAAATAAATGGGAGCAATTTTAGAGAGTGATACTCTGGCAAAAATAAAGATTAGTATAAAAATGAGACAACAACTTTTAGCAACAAAAGTAACAAACATTAGCAACAAAAGTAACAACCATTTAGCTACAAAAGTAATTCTTCTATAAAAGGCATTTGGTGATAACGAAACTATTGCAAAACTAAATATACCAAAAGTACCCCTGAAAAAGTCAGTATGCAAAAAAGAGTGTCTCATATTTAACCAGGTATTTAAACCATAAAAAAAAAGTGAGACACGCTAGGTTAAATATGAGACAGTCACAAAACGCACGTTGAAAGACCCTGCTATTGATTATATTAAATGCTGAAGTAAAGATCAAACTAGAAAGATAGAAATTTATCTTTTTTATTATAAGAACTCAAATAAAAAAAATTAAACTATTAAAGAACACCTACATATAATTCCAATCACCAGCGTATTTTTGGGTTGTTACTACAATTTAAAAATAAAAATATAATAAATATTTGCATTTTGTATTTTTAAAATAAATACATGGTATTAAGTTGTCTCCATAATTACAACTTACAACTAGACGAAGAGTCCTAATTTCCATCCAAAATTATTTTATTTACCTGGTGAGTGTCAAAAGTGCCCCCTCCCCCTATAATTTGTTTATTTTTTTTTCAGATATTAAACGAGATTTGGTATGTTAATTAATTACATAAATTAGGATTGATTGACGTATTCAATTGTTTTTGGTCACTTCCTATTTCATAGGAAGTGACCAAACTTTTTGAAACCTTTTTTAAAACCTTTTGTGAAAACCTTTTTATACTACAACTTTTGATTATTAAATAACACCCTCGGTATGTTTTTACTTTATTCCATAAAAAATGACTCTGAATAGAATGACATACCATTGCCTGGAAACTTATATGGTGAAATTTTGATAAAATAATTTAGTACACACTAAAAACACGGTATGTCGCTAGTGGTAGGAAAAATATTTTTTAGAGGTTACTAGTTTATTTGGTTGCCTGTGATATATATATATATACAGGGTATTTCTTAATTAATCTAAAAAATAAAAAATTGTTAGAAAACGTATTAAGGCGGGCTCTTAATAAGTATATTTATTTTTTTCTCGACAACCGTTTGATGAACAAGAAAAACTCAAAAGATCAATTTTATTGAAAAAAAAAACTTGTGAATTTTGTTTAACTGCAAACCTAAAGTATGTACTAGGATGTATTTCAGGAAAATATTTTAACTCTATAGAGTAGCCAAAAAAAAGTGTGAGTGGATCGGGATGACTTTTTTAAATAGAACACCCTGTATATTATTTTTTGGCTTCCTTTCAGATCACTTTACATAATCCTAAGACATGAATAAATATATTTCAATAATTTCAGAGATATTAATAAATAAATAAAAATTATATATTTTTTCAGCCTTTCTTAAAAGTATTAATAATAACAAGAACTGTTCTTGAAATCAAAGCCATATTAGATATTTACTTTAGATGGTCTGGTACTTTACTTTGTTATAAATATGGAAATCGTAAATATACAGGATGTTCAACATTCTACGCCCAACTTTCTAAAATGTAAAATAATTTTGCTTTGGTTTTTTAAATGGAACACCCTGTATATTATTTTTTCATTAGATGGAGAATTAAAAAAATGAACATTTCTTGCCTTTAGAGTATTTCAAAATTTTTAACGGTTTCGCAGATATTCCTTTGGTTTGTATTTCATATGGCATTTTCCACAGTAAATTTTATCAAAGCCACCCAATGATTTTTCTCTCGTATTTTACCATTGAAAGCGCCATATGAAATAATACTGCGTGTATCCGGAAAACTACAAAAATTTTGAAATACTTTAAATAATAAAAAATGTTCATTTTTAATTCTCCACCAAATAAAAAAATAATAATACAGGGTGTTCCGTTTAAAAAAAACAAGAAAATTATTTTATATTTTTGAAAGTTTGGCGTAAAATATTGAACATCCTGTATGATTTACGATTACCATATTTATAGCAAAGTAAGAACAAACCATCTAAAGTAAATATCTAATATAGTTTTGATTTCAGAACAGTTCTTGTATTTTTAATATTTTTTTTAAGAAGAGTTGAAAAATACATATATTTTGATTTATTTTTTAATATCTCTGAAACTATCGATATAGATTTACTCATATCTTAGGATTATGTAAAATGATCTGAAAGGAAGCCAAAAATGCAATAATATACAGGGTGTTCCATTTAAAAAAGTCATTCAGATCCACTCACACTTTTTTGAGCCACCCTGTAGAAGTTAAAATATTTTCCGGAAATACATCCTGGTACATACTTTAGGTCTGCACTTAAACAAAATTCTCAAGTTTTTTATTCTAGGAGCTACAGATCCCCGACGCACTATTGCCGGACCCTGTATATGCCTTCTTCAGACACTAATTTGTTTAATAAGTTATCTCTGACTTGTAAAAATTTTGTGTTTGCCAACCAGCGACGATGTTTTTTTTTCGATTTTTCTTCTTTTAATAATTAAGCTGTGCATAACAATGAATGCAGACGCGACTATTTCTTTGGTCGTCCATTATTTTCACCAACATAACTCTGCTGTGCGCGCACAATTGGATCACTTCATTCGTCGAAAAACATGTTTTTAATTTAAACGGAGCTGATTTAATTTCACGCTCAACTCGTGTGTGCTCAAATCTAAACGCACCTTTAGAATTTTCAAGAAGAAAAAGGCGCAGTTATCAAGTGTGAACTCATGATATCAGTGAAAATAGAAAATAATTACAAAATTTCTGTAATCATATCACTCTGCCATTGAACTTTTAAAGCCGTAATTTTGGCCGAAATTGAAATTTGAACGAGCCGTTAATTTCACGGGCCAAAAATACGATTCTAAGCAAGCGGATCAATACAGGGTGGCTAAATATTTAAAGAGATCGCGATGTTTGTGTGCGCGGCCGAAACTCGCGGCAAACACAAGCAGATTACCAGGATTAAATGTACAATATCCTGCATTAAACATGAGATTTTAATTAATGTATCCTCGGCGCGGATGTAATTTCGTTACGCGCCTCCCGAATGAAAGTTTGAAATTGGCGCGTCGAAAAATTCGCGTCCTCGACGACGGGAGGTGTCCTAAATCCGCCACCCTCTGGCGGTAATGGATAGAGACTCGCTCACTAACTCTATTATCCAATTTATGTCGTCGGGCGAAAAGATTTTAATGCATTCGTCTCTCTCGAAAAAAAATTGCGATTTATTTTAGGTACGTAACTCATCATTCTCAGGTTACCAGAAAATTTATTCAAATAATTTTTAATATGACTTAAATGCGGCATTTTTAATCGAGTCGGGTGGGTCTAAGTATTATTTCTTTTGTAAGTTTTTGTAAAAATTTGTCAAATCCTGGAAGGTGAACCAAGTAATAGTACTGGACACCTCGCAGCAACATTCCGGAAATGAGTTTTAAGTGAAGAACAAGAACCCGAAACGTCCACGAGCCAAAATGAGAATAAAATTCAAAAGACTACTGGAAATGAAGTTTGCCAATCAGTTATCTTAGTGAATTATTAAAAAAGTCCTCAAAATCAAAACCTAAATAAACTAAAAACTACGGTAGAGATATAATTTTAATTAACGTCATAATTTTTGCAGTTTTAAAATTTTAAAGAGTAATAGTTATCGGAAAATGTAATAATTTAACAACAGTAAAAAATATGACGTTAATCAAAGTTAATAATAACCATCTCGACCTGAACAAACTAAAACGTCAACACAAACTCACGTTTGTATGGGTCCCAAGCCACTCTAATATACTTCGCAACCCAATGGCAGGTGATGCTGCTCAGCTAGCTGCTAGAAGAGATACCATTACTTTCCCTTATCTTAGTAAATATGATTTTAAAGTACTACTGCATAAAAGAACAGAAAGGGAATGGCAGGATGAGTGGGCAGATAAACCTTCAAAGCGTCGCGCAATAAAACAGGATCCGTCAGCGTATTTCCATAATATACCACGTAGAGGTCTCTAAACCCCGTCCCCAAGCTTACTTCAGCTGTGAAGATGTCTCTAACACGGTATAGAATGAAATTGGGAAATGCGCCAAAATCGGGTATAGTTCGTAGTAATGGCGTAACTTTTGATAGCATAAACAGTAATTTTCATTTATGTAAAATATTATATATCTATTCTTTATCATTACATTAAAAACATGACTACAAATATGAAACAACAAAATATCAACAAAAACAACATTTATTTATTAAATATTATATTAATTTCTATTGCTATTTCCTGTTAAACTGCAATGCTCAGCTTTAATTACAGAGTATTAAAATACTAATGTCCTTTGGCATTTGGGTATTTTCGGTAATATTTTTGCTCAAGCACCATTTTTTCTTTTTTAGTCTGTTCTCGTATCACGGCGTTCCTGATGAGCCTTTTTTGCGAGCGGGAACCATGAGTTCTTCTGGATAAAAACCAAGAGCTTTATACTTTTTTACAGTTTATTGTGATATTTGTGAGAATTATTTTTAACTGCCGCTCTGTATCTGATTACTTTTCTCTTTCTGTATTAAGCTTAGTATGTTTTCCATATTTGTTTTCTATAAAACATACTGGGCCTCAAAACTTGTCTTCTCTAAATACTTGAGGTCCTATAAATATAGGTGTAGCGTTACTTACCGCACTGTTTTTTGGTGAATAGCTACGACTCTTGAATAGTTGACTCTTGTGAAGCTGAGGCACTATACATATCGAGAATTTTACTTCATATTTTATGTTTTTAACATTATCTGTCACATACTGTTTCCTGATACACCTGATGCTTGTTTACAATTCGCAACGGTCGCAAACTGGCTAATTCAACGCAAAATGGAAGATGTGACTAAGAATTGTGACGCTGAGAAGCCTACTCCATACTATACCGTATTTGGCGCCATTATCCTATTCCATTCTATACCGCGTTAGAGACATCTTCAATACTGAAATAAGCTTGAGGGTGGGGCTTAGGGGCACTATGCTCTCTACATGGTATATTATGGAAATACGCGATCCGTCGAGCCTAGGATGAGCGGATGAATCCAGAGTGCGTCGTCTTCGTATTGGGCATACTGCGGTGACTCAAGCATATCTGCTTAAAAGAGAAATACTTTTTGAACTTTATGAAAGATATTAATATATACCACCAACTGTGATATTCGCCTGTGATACTCTAATCCAACTGTAATACTGTGATGTAAATAATTACCTATTTTTCTTGTAGTTTGTTTTTGTTTCTCTACTTTTTTGTGTTTAGTTTTTTGATCTTTTTGTCACTCGACTTGAAATATTTATGTCAATGTAGATTTTTAAATTTTGAATTATCCTTGTAAGAGTGATCCCCTTGAGGATATTGAGATAGATCCCTGTTAGTGCATTGTTAACAATAACGAGTTGTACATGGCTAATGATCCTGGTGATCAATGCCTAGGGAAAAAATAAGCATCTCTTAAAGAATGAAATCAAAATTATATTACCATACACGCCTTTGATTTTTAGAACTTTGAAAAAAATCAACCATATTACCGGTATTACTGGACGTTTTGTTGGACTTACTAAAGATATCCCAAGGTGTCTTGTCAATGCAATTATAAACCAGATATTGAAGAATTACTAGAATCGGTACAGTATAGGCAATTTTCCCTTATTATGTAGCATTTAGAAAAAAAATAAAGGAATACTTCAACAATGTTATAATAACTATACTTACAGGGGTGTGATGGGGTAAATGGATATTCTAACGTAGGCAATCTAGGTTGCGGTGCTCCAGGATGCAAAGCAGATGGGCAGTGGTAGCAGAACATACCCCTGCCACCCCCACCTGCAATCTGAAAAAGAAAAAATATACATTTTATAATATTATTCCTCAATTTTATCAAAATAAAATCAACAATAAAATGTGTGAGCATACCAGTAAATGAGAACAATCGCAATTAGAGTAACTTTATTAAGTTGGAGTTGATGTTTTTGCAAATCATGCGAACACACGCGGCTTAAATTGAATAAAACGCTAACAGTGACGGCACATGAACTAAATTAACTGATAATTAATTTTGATTAAATTTACCAACTTAACTAGATGCAATATAGCCATGATGTCATTCACTTAGCGTGAATAATTAAAAGAATGTTTGTTATATCCAGTCGATAACATTGAATAACAACGCTATCCAAATATTATGGTTGTTATATAGTGTAGTAGTCAGTATTGTATTTTTATTGTTTATACATTTTCAGTTATTTATTGCAATTTTTCTTTCTTTAATATAATTATTGGTATACTTATTCTTTTAACTATTGTAGAAGATATAACTCAAGTAGCATTTTTAGACACAAAATCAAAACAAAATCTCCGCTTAGAAACATTGCGAAACAGTTTCATCACATTTTTGTTACATATGTTTCGTAACATATATCGCTTTTTGGTTCGAAACATTTGACTAAAATATGGTTTCCCTACATAAGCATTAACAATAAAAATCTTAGTGTCAAAAATTTTTCGAAACTTTTAAGAAACAGATGTGGCTCACATTTACAGATTTCGTACTCGTTTTGTGCCTAAAAAGTTTCCATTATTTCTTTGATATTCTGTCAAATATGAGAACATAACCTTACTTTATTGTTTTCATTTTGTTCTGCAGTTTTTGCATTTAAGCATTCTTCAAGTTTTTATAGTACTATAATTAAAAATGCAGAAGGAAGGACATAATATGTGAGTACGAATACAGATATTTTTCTTATGTGATTTTATAATTATTTATTATACGCATTACAGAGATGATTTGTTTTAGGAATAAATGTAATAACAGCCACTATACCCATACCGATAATAATGTTACCAGCAAACCTTTTTTTTCTCTTTTTTCCACAATGGAATACATGTTTTTATGTTTTAATTGTGTTATAGTAATAAGTAAATAAAGATCCTTTAATTATTTTGACCAGAAGTTTTGATTGGCGTTGTTGACAGGTGACTAGTTCGAAATTTCTACACACATAGCGCTAAACCGAAACATTTTGGAAACAAGGTTTCCGTTTATCGTCGATTCATTGTCGAAGCACGAGTTTCTCTCTTTTTATACACAAATATGATATAATGTAGATGATTTGTGTCCGATTCCATGTCAATTTTATAAAATAATGAATTAAAATTCTGCCATATTGGCTAGTGATAGCGTGTTTAACTAAAAATATATGTTTTTATCGGCTGTTGTAAGCTTTTAAATTCATAAGAACGCGTTCTACTTACATTGACTTATATATTTTTATTTTCAAAACCATGATATAGAAATAAAAATAAAAATCTATATTTCAAACAAAAATATTTTGTAGCAACATATAATAATATATAGAAGGGGCATTAAAAATATGAAAGTACATTATTAAATTAAACGATGAAATTTGCTTTTGCCAGACATTTCTTCTGCGAGAAAACCTAAAAACAAAGAATTTAAGAGAAAAAAATTATATTGCGGAGGTCGACATTAGTGATGGTTGTTTTCATTTTAAAATCCACACAGACATAGACTATTTCAGTTTGGCATTTTGTTTCTTCACATTTAGAAACATTGGCTGCAGAAAACGGGAACATGTTGGACACAAAAACTCTAAAAGTTTTCATTCTGCATCGAAACATTTCAGGAAACGTCTAATGTGCCACCAGTTTGAACTTTTAATAAGAAAAAATAAAATGCTAGTATTAAGTTTTAATCACATTCTGTTGATCCTAACATGGTTTTGTTAAAAAATATAAGCAAATTGGTTGCTTTTACTAATTATTATATTATTTTTTTATTATTGAATTATCTGAAATCAGCTTGTCCATTAAAAAAATATAATTTTGACATATTATGTGGCAATTTTCATGACGAAAATCTACAAAAATGCTCAATAATCATGTAAAAAGTAGAATTAAAACAAAAATTCAAGACGTATGCTCTTCTACAAGACGTTCTCTGTAATTGGAGTTTGGAGTTGAAAACAATATTAAATCAATTTCGACTAACTAAGGGATATAAATAACAAAGTCCAATCTAGAGCCATGTGGGTTAATCTGATACATTGGTATCAAATTCAGTTACTGTATTAATAAAACAATATTCAAATTAGGCTTATAAAGACAGTTAACTAAATTTTATTGAGACATATTTCAGTTAATTTGTCTAAATCACCCGTATGTATATCATTCGAATTCTTCCGAATGGAACGAGGAAAGTTTTGTTTGTGTTTGTTTTTTAGCGATGGTTAAATATATTGAGATTATATAATTCCAGATTTAATTGAAGCAACTGCTATCAACTACGAGTATGAATAATAATACTTCATAAAGATTTTTCATTCAACTAAAATTCTTCTATTTTTTTCAAATATCCCGATCTGTATGGAAATAACTAAAAAAATATCATTCTAACATACCATAACTTTTTTCAACTCTTGAATCAGTTAACTTTAACAAAGTTTCAGCAAAAACCTGAATTTTATTAATACACATTTTACAAAATGAGAAATACGGGTATATTTAATTTATTATTAAATTCTAATTTGTAATTAATATAATATATCGGGGATTAAATTAAATCAAATAAATTATCGGTTCATACACGCAGTCCATTTGACTATTAATTATTGCGATCAAATTGTTGACAAATCCATAGCGTTTAAATTATTTCATTAGGCAAATTAGCAAAGTAATTTACTATACACATATTTAAGAGCCTAATTGGAATATTAATTAACGAAACTGAATAAACAATACCATTCGATTAATCAGCAGCATTCCATTAAGCAATATTTTATAATGGCATATTAATAATTTTAAGCGCCATCTGGTAGCTGAATTTTGATAGATTTAATATTCTAACAGCCATAATATTAATAATACTATAATGGTAATCCGGTTGTATATAATTAGCTGTCATTTGCTTATTAATTAGTTTATTATTAGATGTTAGCATTTACGCAAATAGTGATTTGTAAATTTTTAGAATATCAAAAATAATTTTTTAATAAAAACCTCTTACTCTTGGTGTTATAATGTAATAAGTATTCTTGGTCTGGAAGGGTCCAACCATGGCCTCGATATTGACTTTCTTTCAAGACTCTTGCAAGTCTTATACTGCTCAGGAGCTTGGAACACCCTTAAAAGGAACATTCCACTCCTCCAACTCCCAGTGGATCACATACCAAGAATGTAGGTACAACTTTGAGTAACATCTCACTACAGTAGTGAACAATAAAAGGATTGGAAGAGAGAAACATTTGCTCAGCAGTTAAAAGACCGTACCATAACTTGGTATACCGATGCGTCCAAAACGAAAGCAGTAGCAGGTATAGGAGTATTTTGGCCGAAAACTAAATCCTTTTAATCAATGGGCACCTACCCCAGCATCCTTCAGGCAGAAATCTTCGCCATTCAAAAATGCGTAAAACTTATCTTAGATAAGAACTATCGGAATAAAAAAATAGCCATCTTATCCTATATTCAAGCAGCCTTAAGAGTGATCAACTCAGTAACCATCAATTCGAAGTTTGTCTACAGAATGTAGTATTTTTTATTGGCATACAGGGTCTAGCAGGAATGCAGCGTAGTTCCTATAATGAATAACTCAGAAATTCTGTATAGATGCCCGGCGCACCATGTATACCCTGTATACCAATTACAAATATTTGCCAAGTACACGAGTCGTGAGAACGCGTCATAAGAAGAGTACAATGCATTTATAATGTACTGAACAAAGAGGGAACAGTAAACACGTTGCCAAACGTATGAAATAAACCGAGAAACTGTGTACATTGCTAAGACACGAAGTGTACATCATGCGTTCAGCTTCACAAAAATAAAATGTGGTCTCGTGATACTGTATTTATTAACGAGTCGTTGTAATTTTCCTTATAGTTTGAAAATTTTTAAGTTCAAGCTAGAAACACTTGCATTTTTGGTAAAAATAAGTGGAATTGGGTTGGTGTTCGACAGTGGTCGCGCTATTAGAACTCTGAATTCAAAAATCGAAATCTATTAGAAATAATTGATTGTAGTTTTTCAAAAACTTTTTTTCGCAGGCAGTATGTAAAAATCTTTGTAAATAAAAAAGTTACACGATTGCTAAAAACTGTTATGCACTAAAAGTAAATGGATGGGTTGTTTAAATTTTAGAATGGAAAAAAGACAACCTTATCGAATTTTACTTATGTAATATTGTAAATGATCCGATCTTCAAAATAAAAAAAAAACTTCAATATCTAAAGTGGTTCTTAAGTTATGGCGTGTTACGTGTAAAAAAGTTGAGTTATTAAATTATCGCGATTACTGACGTTTTGTCGTTAAAAAAAATGGACACCTTAACGATATCCTTATAATTCCATTTCAGATACTCAGAAACATAACTAATGATTTTATCTAGTTACCTTTTCGAAAAAAAGTCTTAAAAATAAGCGGTTTGCGATCGTGATTTTACTTTACTTGATAGGGAAAGGCCTACCGGCAACAACGCAACAGCACACCGTCGCATTTCTCTCACTCTGGCTTAGTAAGATCCCTATGCGATTTACTTTCACACATGTAAATACCGACCCAAAAGTAACTGTTGCCAGCTCGGTATAAGATCGCTGTGATTGACTTCATCCCTCCAATGCAATCTATAATCAACCAGTTTTGTACCAAACTTTCATTGCAGGCAATTTCAACATCGAAAATTTCTAAGAAACTAGTTTTCAAACTACTTAAAAAAGCAACCAAAAGAGGAACTACAATAATATATTCAACTAAAGTAATATTTTTCCAACTATATCTTTTAAGTACGTGTTTTTAAACAGTCCTTCCTTACTCTAT